TATATATTTGTGTGTGTGTGTGTGTGAGTCAGTAGTACCCATAGACACTGCACTCACTATTCATGTATATACACAGCAGTAATGAGACCCATAATGCAGCCACCCATATCATTCTTACATAAATGCACATATGCTGTGCACACACACCTCCCGAATGCTGCAGACCCTGACGAGACATTTCATCAGCCAGGACTGCTGCAGAATTCCATTTCTTAATTTCAACCATTTTATTAATAATTATACTTGGCACTTACGTAGATTATTATGGGATAGCTGATACCTTTTGGATGCTGAGAGGTTTTCCTTTACAGAAAGGCCATACATTTGTGGTATCACAGTGCTCTCCACACAAGCTTGGCACTGTACAATGATGAAAAGCTTTGGCCTGCAGTTCAGCCTAGTCTTATGCTGCTGATAGCTCTAATTAATTTTTCAGGTATTTGACTTTTGTCTCTTAGGTAACTGGAAAGTGAAATCTGGGTGCAAGTTACAGCTTACCAGAAGGGTATGGTGTGTAAGCACAACTGTTCACTTCCAAATGCTCTAGGTATTTGTATTTTCCCAATTTACTTCTCTCTCTCACAGTTTAAATTAAGCAGTCTGTTTAGCTTCTATTCACACATTTCCCAAGGACAGCGAAATTGGAAGTGTGTCCTTTGCAACTCCCTCCTATTTTTAACATGTCTGATTCCTTCCCCCGTTTTGAAAAGTCCCTCCATCCTGGAAAATAGATTCAACAAAAGCAGTGTCTTTGTGCTTTCTTTTTGCATTAACAGATTAAATTTTACTGTTTTCCTTTTCTCACTCTTCTTTTATGATGTCACTGTACTATACAACAAAACACTGAGAAAACGATCCATCTTTGTAAAGGCTGCTTGCTGCTAAACTTAATACCTGTTTGAACTGCTGCTTCTTTTTCTTGAAGGCTCATGTTTGTCTTTAATTAAAGGGAAAGGATGCGCATGATGCATTGCTAGCTCTATCTGATCTTTACTGTTTGATCCCATCCATTCAAATATAAATGTTTTTTCTTGTCCATTCAGACACTAAATCAATGCAACCAATCCAAAGGTCTACTGCAGTATTCATTTGTTTATGGGATTTTTTCTTTTCTTTTCTTTAAAGAATATGTTGAAAAAGTGATAGGAAGATAGCTGGGCCTTAGGGCTTTAATATTTAAAACACACAACACAGCAAGACTCGATCTATCCTAGGGAATTCAGAATGCTTTACAATGCCATGCGAACATCTACATTAGGAAACCTTCAGCTTTGAAAAGTTAAATATTAAAAGAGGGATTACCTGAGGCTAACCTAACCTTCCTCCCAGTGAAGGCACTACTAATACACCCAGAGGATTAGCAGCCTTAATAGAGGCTAAACGTATCCATGTCTGCCTAGCTGTGCTTTCACTCTATACTTCATTCCATATTCCCTATCGGTTTGATTTGCCATAGCGCTTTCTTCAGACATTAATTGAACCATAACTTACGGCCTCCTCTCTCCCCCAAATAATTACAGTCCTCCCAGAGACAATGTCTTTTCTGCTTTGGTTTTAACATTTTCCAGTTAGATCCGTAATACAAGGTGAAATTACATTTCCATATCTTCTCCTGCTGGCTCTCCCAGCTTTCCTTCTCTGCAGCTTTGCATGGTAAGCTCACAGCATTTCTCTTAAGCAGAGTCTTGCTAATCTCCTCAGTTCAGCCCTGTCATGTTAGGCCCCTTAGGGTGGATCACAGTGGAGTAGGGAACAGGGGGAATCTAGTAAGTCCTGAACAGAAGATATTTTACACGTTTGCCTCTTTTTAAAAATATTTTCTTCAAATTGCTTAATGTCTTCTTCATATTGCAAGCATATTTTGTGTTGGAGTCATTTATGAAATCCCTGCTGAAGAATTCTATCTTGAAAATTAGCCAGCTGGGGACTAGAATAGTTAGGAAATAATATCATTACAATGCAGTAATGTGTTAATAGTGCCATTATAGCTTTGTAATTCCTACTGTTCTCATATCCTTGGCCTGCTATATTCCAATCTTTCTTCTAGCAATTCTAAAGGAATTGCTATAGCAACATACCTTCAAACACGTATGATTAATATTTTATACACCCATGACTGACTAGGTATTTGTTCTAGACATAGCATATTGAAAAACAAGATGGAATACCTGCCATGAATCCATAGAACAGAAACTGATTTACTTGGGGAGAAAAATAAATCATGAATAAGAACATTGAATTCATCAATGTTCTTATTCATCATTGAATAAGAACAAGAGAAAATACAATTTCAGAAATTCAGAATACATGCAAGTTGACAAAATATACTGCAATACTTTGATCTGTATGGTATATTAGGGTTATTCTAAAGAACACAGAATATCACAAGCCATTTTAGTATTATATCCAAAAATGGCATTTTCTTGTCTTGGGAAAATAACTGCCTCACTTACCTTTTTTTTACTTGTGGACAGATGCCTTAATCCTGCAGTTAGATTTATGTGAGCGTACTACTTATCCTTTTTTAGATCCCAGGGAAGATAAAGGCATCTCAATCTGGAAACCCAAGAAGTGATCATATTTTGTAAATTCAAACTTAAACGCATTACTGAGCCTACTGTCAAGAAGGTGTGAATATTTGTGCCTCCCCTTAACTTCACACCTGCTTGGTATCAGTCAAGATTTTGGATTACTGACTATAGTCGCCATGCTGGTTAGGATAGGCAACTAGAAGTACACACTTTGCCGTTTTAGTCTCAAGAGCTAATTGTATATAATTTGCCATTAACCACATATGATGATAGTTATTGGAGTCTCGTTACACTTCTTATCAGAAGTCAGTTGGTTTGCATGATGCATCTAGGGGTAAATTCTCTTTCTTCTAAGATAAAAAGCACCAAGCTCTCTCCCACTGCACTTAGAAATTTGGTCTTTTAAAACACCACACTTGTCAAAAGTAAAGCTGCCTTATTTGCTATGAATTAAAGTAGCCGTGGCACTCACACTCAGCAGGAGGCCTATGTTCCACGTGCATTCAATTTAAATCTCTAAAATTGGGTGTTGGAAGCGAGTGAGCTTTTACTACGCAAAGAGTAAATTTCACCCTAATACATAGAGCAAGGAGTGGTAAATAGAGAGGTTGATCAGGGAAACCTGGAAATGTCTGCACAGCTCTTGACCTTCTGAAGCATTTATTTACCAGCCCGTGCACCTCAGTTCATTCCTGCCAAATAAACTCCTTAAACATGCACTTAATGCACATGCTTAAAGTGTTTTGCACAATGCAGAAGTCAGAGGGTTTGTCATGTAGAACATGGAAAATGAATAGGGGGCAAAATGCTGGCTGGACTTCCAAAAAGCAATGTACAACTTGTACTGCAGAAAAGATCAAAGCTTTCAGGAAAAATACTGAAGCCTGATACTATAAAGTACAGGAAACAGGGGATATCACTGAAATTAGAGAAGCTGTTTTACTGAGCTGGGAATGATTGCTTTGCAACCTTCATATTTTCTCCTGCCAATTTCTTGATAGGATACACATTGCATGTAGTGCCCATATACCATCCTGTGACCCATACTAATTTGTTAGTGCATGTTTATGGCTCTTCCTAGATTATGATAAATATACCTTCTAGACATTTACAAATAGAAACACCTCTAATAATCCATCTTAAATGCCACTTATAGAGCCACTTATGTTGGCAGCTTTCCTAAAAGATCAATTTCTTTTAAAAGCACTATGTTTCTGCTGACAATCTCAGGGCTTGAGTGAAAAGGTAAATTTGTCTGCCAACATCACATGTCTTTTCAGTTCATACAGGTAAGTATCCCAAGCAGACTCTATCGCTGACCAACTAAATGGACAGATAGCTATATGGGTGAATTTGCTATATGATTGCATATAGACAGCTGCTCATCCTTTTATCTGAACATCCACCTCTCATGCCCAAGTGCTCAGATCATTTAACAAAAACTCAGATTATTCTTAGGGTTTTGTGGGCTCACAGCCTTTTGTAGGCTTTCAGCATTGAGGCGACGTGAGGCAAGACAGCTGGAAATAATGTCCCCAGCCAGTCTTTTAAAGTCGTAATTGCTAAGCTCAGATTACAACAGACCTAAGGTTCAGAAAGCCATTTGGCATCAGATTGTCACATAACTTCTGCCTCAGTTTTCCTTCCTAATAATGCTGACTCACGTTTTCCAAATAACTGCCCATGGTCCTACGCAACCTCAATATTTTTCCATGCTCTATCCACCCTTTTGTCCTCTGTCCAAGCTCTATAGCCCCTCCACCTCACCCCCGTTCTTTTCAGGAGGAAAAGAGCAAGATAAAAAGAGGGGAAAAAATGCTCCCTACACACTTCAGTGCAGAACTAGGTTATCTGACAACTGTTACTTTAAACGGATGTGGCGAGAAGGGCTGAAAGCCTGGACCTGAACAAATGATAAAGAGGAGACCTCAGTGATGGGAGGCAAGGAAATGAACTAGAAAGGTGAGGGAGCTTTACCAGACAGAAAAGACAAAGTCTTCCTGAGCCATTGCTGTTGGCTTTTCTGGAAGACAAAAAACTTTATCTGAGCATTTCTTGACCACTGATCTTTCACCTAAGTGCTGCCTGCCAGTTGCATCCTGATCTGGGGGGAACAAAAGAAGAATGGACTAGCACAGGTATGTGAAAAGCAGAGATACACTCACACCCCTGTGTGATCCACTGCACAGGGTCTGTCCCTCTTCCTGTCACAGACCTTGCACCGTCCATCCTCGCTGCAGAATACAAGAGGCTGCAAGCAGGCAAAAATGACAGCTTCATCCTGTCACTTTGAGGTTATGTGCTTTTAAAACAACGTTAACAAGGGCTCTCCTTTTCGTTTCCCCCCTAAAACCAAGAAGGGGCTGAGGGAGGCAGAATGACAGTGAATTGTTCATCAGAGATTCAGGCCCTGAAAGAGAGAGGCACTTTTCCTCTCTGATTATATTTTATCTTGACGTTATTTTAAAATATTCTAAGCATTCTACCCCCATTTATCTGACTACTATCTTTACACTGTCTACACACAATGATCAAGAGGAATATAATAATGCTCTACCATAGTGCCCCGTGAAGAAGCTCTGTTCTCGAATGCAAGTGCCTTTTTCCAACAACCCTTTGTTATCTGTATGAAAGAACTAAGTTGCCTATGACAGTCCCTACTGAGACAATGTTTCTAGCCTGTTCATATATGGAGATTCCCTTTATTATGATTATTATTTATTATTATCTCTGCATCAATTTAACCAAGTCCCAAATGTGCTCTCAAGATAGCAGAAGCTTTTGAGATGTCACTGGTGCAGAAGCAAAACATATGTGGGCTAGAACATCGAAATGGAAGTAGGCAGCCTTTAAAGTAACAGAAAACAACATTATATTAGCAATCCTGCCTCTCTCCAATATGAAGTAGTTTCAACTAAGAGTATTTTTCCAAGACACTGTAGCTCCAGAATTATTCCAATGGGAAGGTATGTTTGGAAATCAAAGAAAAGATATTTTTAATCATCCACTTATACTGTGCTCTTTCATACTGTGCTCTAAGCTAAATGAGAAAGGACTGAATACTAATTGCATAGAGTTGAGATACATTCTGGGCCATATAGGATGATTCTGTTAAATACAATACTGAGAGATCACTTGTGTGATGTAGGCTTCCCATTTTTTCACACACTGGGAGAGCCTAAGTGAACTTTGCTTACCTGAATTGAGAGACTGAACGTTCTGGAAAGCATGAAGAGACAGCTGATTTCTCACTCAAGGGCAGGTACATTCCACCTGTGAATGCAAAGGAAAATGTTTCTTGCCTTCTTTACTAAAATTAATCTTCAGATCCATGAACACTCAAATAATGGTGGAAGACCGGTGGGCCTGGATCTGCTGGAGGGGAAGAGAGATATCAACCCCTTGCATTTTGAAAAGTTGGAGGAAAAGTCACATAGCCTGTATTGTTGCATTTACTCTTTCTGGCTCAGAAGAAGGGAAGTGATGCAGAGAAGGGTATATAGAATTAAATTTGATCTCCAAACATTTGAAAACTGTGGGACAGAGTAACTTGGCTAGATTACCCAGAAATGCATAGATATAGGATATGGCATCACTAAACATGCTCAGATGTTTGGTAACTGTTTCTGAAGCTTTGCAAAAAATTTCCATTGTGGGAAAGCCATCTGGCAGGTCCTACACAGTTGCTCTCTGAGAAATTTTTTTATGAAGATAGAAGTTAAGGACGGCCCTGAGGCTCACTGATGAAGAACCAGAAGATATATCTGCTGGCAGGGCCAACTCCCAGACCTTTAGCAGTTTCATTTTGGACTTCTGTTTCACAAGCAGCTGACAAGAATAGCTGGAAGAATGGTTGGACACCCCAGAGAGTTCCTGACAGGCCAGTTAGCAGCTAGGAAATGCTACAGCAGGGACAATCTTCTCAAACTCTGAGCATAGATGACATTTGCAAGCACTTATTGTGGCCACGCTGTAAATTTTAAGCACTGTCTTGGAAACAAGATGAGAAGGGAGTACCTCTGTGTATGTAATAAAATATGCTCAAAACCTTATGTTTGGATGTATAACAGCAACAAAGTGGAGGAGACAGCATGAGGAACACAAACAGAAGTACTGTCTAATAAGTTTTATTTAAAACTTATCGAGGGTATTCAAAATACAATTTACAGGGTATCAGTTCACAATATTTTTTGTGTACATTAAATGTTTGTTTTATCGAGGAACTCTGTGGTACTTTGAAAATTGTCTGGAAACCATTAACACCTGCTCTTCAGAGTTGTACCATCAACAAGGTGTGAAGGCCTTGAGAACCCCCAGAAGAGATGGGATTGTGAACAGTACATCAGCGAAGAGTTAAAAGCAAGTGGCAGGAAGATTGGGATTTAAGGAGCTGTACAAAACACTGTCCACACCATTATGTTAGAACCGTTTAGTTTGGCAAAAGCAAACATATTTAAACAGGATATAACCAAAACCTGCTAGCTGAAATTTCAGTTGATGTCCTTAACATTTCCTCGCACATATGAAATATCAGTTCAGGTTCAGCCTTACTGAAAAAGACTTCCTGACCTCACCTTCTCACCTTAGATCACCTTTCTTGGTCACTACAGAAATGATCATCTCAAGCCTTGTTGTTGAATCTGCTACCTGCAGGACATCCTCCATTCGAGTTTTGCTCTAAGGTATCCGATCTGGTCTCTGCCCTGAGGCACATTGTCAATAGTTTATGCTTAAAAATTCTTAGAGCGTCCCTTTAAAGCAAAAATGCTCATCTTCCCTCTCGAACGCTGCAGCGTTCCTTCCACTGCCGTTGACAAATGCAGCCTCACCTCTTTAGAAAGCTGCTGTCCTTTCTCTTCGCTTATAGGTTTGACTGTATCACGCTCTCTCTTCACACACATCCCATGGCTTCCTTCACTTTATTACACCCTTGCTTTCACTTCCAAAGCCCTCCACAACTTATCCCCTCCTTCAAATCATCTTCTAGGATCCAGTTAGGCCCTGACGCCAGCCTTTCTATGCCCACTTCCTACATTTTTAAACAAATGTATTTGAGCATTTCTCATGCACTGTAACGAGCTCCCGAATAAATGTTCTCAGAGTCACCTCAGTGTCTTCCGTCACATCTATTTTTCAGTTGCCTCAACTTTACCAGCAGCTTAAGACCCAGGTCTGTAGTTGTGGATGCCCTAGGGAGTTTTGTTGTAAGCACAAATAGGAGCAAGAGAAAACCGTTGTTATGAAAGACTAGGGGAGCGTTATAAATCTTAGCTGATGTTGTGGTTGCCATGTCATCAGTGCATTTGGTTGCATATTGTTTCTCCTTCTTCCAATGGAAAAAACAAATGAGTAAAAGCTGTTTCAAATGAGTATTTTTGTGTTTAACTACATGCAATACATTTTTAAGAATTACTGGAAGCAGTTTGGTGGAAACTAGTCTGAATCATAACCTTGAATCTGAACATCTCCTGTCCCTAAATTCAAGGTTGAGGGAAAAGTTCAAGCTTTGAATCTCCTCAAGTTTTGATTCTGGGTTACATTCAAAACCAGAAGGGGCTTGTTTTTCCAACTGCAATTTGATGTGGCCTGGGATAGCATAAATCTCACAGAACATCTGGGAAGAGTTTTGCTGATAGAAAGAACATGGAAGTATTATTTCTTGAGAAAGTACAACATTATAAAGTCAATGCAGAGTTTTTCTAAAATAGTTGCCAGCCTGACATTAAAAATGTGTCTTTTGTCCAAAAAAGAGTAGGGCTAACCTTGAAAAATCCTTCCTTTCTGAAGCTGGTGATACCGTCTGCCTCCACTTTATATGGCAACAAGTCCAAAAGTTCACGAATCTCTGTTGTAAAGACATACTTTCTTTCATCTGTTTTAAACCAATCTCCAGCTAGCTTAAAACACCTTGAAGTCCTGTTACTTTGGTAAATAATACTTCGGTATTTGCCTTATCCACTGCCTTTATGATTTTACAAATCTTGATCACATCCCCCTTGACCCCAGCCTTCTCTCTATGTTGAACAGTCTCAGACTTTTTAGTGTCTCCTTGTAAAGTACCTGCTCCATCCCTTTGAACATTTTGTTGCCCTCCTCTGTACCAGCTCCAATATGTCTTTCTCGATATGTGCAGATAAGAACTATACATTGTACTCAAGATGAGAGCACATCAAGGTTTTATATAACAGTAATTTGACTCCCTCCATCTTCCTCTCAATCTCCTCCCTGACAATGCGCAACATTTTTCTTTTTATTTTGGCTGCTGCTGCCTGTCGAGCTGATGATTTCATCAGACCTGTCAGATTCAGAACTATCAGTGACAATTGAGATCTCCTTCCTGAATCATAAGTGCCAGTTCTAAGTTTAATGTCATGTAGTAGGCATGGTTAGATTATTTTATTCCTAAATGCATTCTCTAATTTATCTGCATTGGTACTCATTTGCTACCTTTTTGCCCATGCACTTAGTTTTGTGAGGTACTTCTTAAGTTCCTTGCCAATTGCATGGCATCTGACTACCTGAGAGAGCTCAGTATCAGCTGCAACCTTGGAGATTGCACGGCACACTCCCAGTGTCACATCACTGATGAAGATGCTGAATAAACGTGGTTTTAGCACTGGTCCCATTGGCACCCAACTACTGACTCTCCTCCACCCCGAAAAGCGAGCTTTAAGCCCTGCTATCTGCTTTTGGTCCTTTTACCAGGTTTCAGTCCATAAATTACCCCCTCCTCTAAGCCCATGGCAAGTCAGTTTCTGTAATAACCTTTGGTGTGGAACCTTAATGACAGTTTTTTGAAACTCCAAATTATGCCCCCAAGGAAGTCCTTCGCCCGTGTGCTTTTTGATGCCAGTTGGCACCCTCCTAGAACTCCAGTGGGCAACTGAGACAGGACTTTTCTTTGAAGAAGCCATGCACCTTTCCCAATAGATCATATTGCCAATGTTTTATTCTCTTTTAAGGGATCCACTATATTATCAGGGTCAAAAATCAGACTTAGTAGACTGTAGACTTTTGAACCAGACTGTTGCATTAAACAATGATGCTTAACCTCCATAAACCTTATTCTCAGTGATTTAGTCATATCAGGAAGATGGGTAAATCATGCAAGTTTCCTGAAGTTGTGGCCACACTGAAATGATTTTGGCACACTGATCAAATAACACAAAGGGAGGTCAGCTCCAACAAGTGCTCACACCCACTTAATTTCATTACACAAAAGCAAAAACAAAATAAATCTCAGGAGCTTTACAGTTAAAACACACGTAACACCATGATATGAATTCATCATTCCAGTCAGAATTCTCACCTTGTATGCACAAGCTCCCCTTATTTCTGTAAGTGGCAGTCATTTTTCTATTTTAAATCTTAATGCTGTTCTGTTATTTATTTTTCTTTTCCCCACTTTGTTTTTCATTCACCCGTCAATTTTTTTCTGCCTTCAATTTTCCCCCCAAGAAAAGAACAGCAAAAATATTAAATGACAACATTTAATAAAAATGGCCACTATACAGATATTTCTCTTTGTTACCAGCAGAAATTTACTTTCCACGCACACATGAAAATCAAAGTGCTGAGACAAACTGGTTATTTATTTAGCAAATACTATGCTTTCAATGGCAGTAGGAACAAATCTAAGCAGTAAGAAAAATCCTTACTATTTTGAGTTCTTACAAATATGCCTACTTAAGGCAAAGAATGTGTGATAGTCTAAATTTTCAGATATGTCTAATATTGGGCAAATATTCACGCACACATATTTATATAGATTATAGTGAATCGATACTCTAATGGCTTGGCCTCCCTACCGTTACTGGTGAAAATAATGATGCAGTATCCAAGACTGTCTTTTGGGGGTTCACTTCACCGTATTTATCAGTCCTGACATTTCACCCAGCCAATGCAGTAGAAGGGTTATTAAGAGCACAGCACAAATAGCCTGTATTCCCAAGAGCATATTTTAATCAAAAAGAAAAACAGTAACTGAAAACTCTAATAGAAGGGGGCTTTGTGTGGGTGAAACATCACAGAGCTGCGCAGAAGGGTTTTGCTTGCTGCTGCTCCTGCCTGCTGCCAGGCAGGTTCTCTGGGTGCAGAAGGAAGCAGACACTCACCTGCCACCAGTTGAAGTCTATCTCTCATCCTCTGGAGTCACGCACCGAGATGCTGAGGACACAGGCCCTTTCTCTCTTGGCTCCCATCACCTCCCTGGCTCTCGATTAAAAGTTAAAATGAAAAAAAAAAAGGTGATGATTATCGCTTTTCAGTCAAGTGCAACCAGCATCTTTGGAACTCTTCAGGTTTTATTCCCTTAATTCCATTTACTCCATTTAATTCCATTTGTTCCATTTTCTTCATAAACAGTACTGGAAATATACCTTCCATTCATATTCGCCCTCTGATGTACTTCCTAAATTTTTTACTAGTTTATTTCTTAAACCACAAGCCCAAGCGTTACCATAATTTCAAAGTAGTCTACTACTCCCACCAAAACATCAGCCAGTGTCTGAATCACCCAGCACCTTACCCCCGCTAACTCACTCAGGTCATACAGGTGAGCTGGAGCCACATCTCAGTCCCTCCCTGCTCCTTCCATAACGTCCTGTCCCCATGGCCATGCCTGACCTGCTCCCTGCTCCCTGCCTCTGCATGCCCAGTGCCCCTGCTCATGGCCAAGCTGAAGCTCAGGGACTCCTGTCCATCTCGTGCAAACCCACGCCATCACTTCATGCAACCGCCGCAGCCTCAGCCAGAGCCAGAGCATGTCCTGCCCTGGCCCCACCAGGGAGCCGGCAAAAGGCGAGAGCGAGAGGCCTGGGAGCGCAGAAGCACCCTCAGCCTCATCTGTGAAATTGTAGCCTCCGCCTCCTGCATTAGAGCCACGGTAGCCTCTGTGGCCCAGGGATGCATTAACCTCCACGCAAACCGTCACAGGCAGTTACGGCAAGTAATAGAGTTCAACTAAAATCTATACAAGAACCAATGCTTTCAAACAGGGGAGGTGGAGAGGGAGTCACAGGAGCAAGCAGACAAATGAAGCAGAAGGTGTAACTATTGGGTCCTGAGCGTGTTTTGAGGCCAGTTGTGTGCTCAGTACTCCCCCTTCACACTACTACAAGGACTTCAGCCTCTCCCACTGGGAACGTGCTTCGGTCTATGCATGTCTACTGTTTTGCCACTCTCTTGGTTTTGTTGCACATTTTGTGACTTTTTGGTATTTTGCAGCTAAAAAAAGATCTTCATTTATTGTTGTTGAAAATCTCACACTTCACTGAGTGAAGCCCATTATCCAACGGGATCTGGCTCAAGACTTCTGAATGCATGGGGCTGTCTGCTCACAATTTGGCCTATATAATATAATCCTGTAAGCAGACGCATGCTTTATAGTGCTTAAATTCTCATGACATCCCTGTGCTGTAGCTCCTGCTGCAGTCTCACAGCACTGGATGCTGTGAGGTATACACCAGCAAGGCTGACAGCCTAGATAAGCTGCATGTTACCTAGCAGCAGTACAAAAACTATAAAAAATGCACCTATGAAGTAGCAGTGTCACTCTCACTGCTTGAGTGAAGATCACAATGAGATTGCTTTAGCCTAAGCCCTATCAGTGTCCACTAAAAATGAAGAACATTGTTGTAATAAATCAGCTTGAACTTCACTCCCTAGGTATTCACTGACATTATGATGAATTTCTCCGTTCACATGCAATCTGCTTCTCTCTTTGCCAAAGTTTCTCCACCGTATTTTCAAGTCATGGTGGTCAACATTTGATTAATTTAACTAAGGACAGTTAAAATTACCTGGGGATATGATTTAGCTGTAGAGCACAAGACTTCAAAAATGAAGCTCTACCTAGACTGGCCATAGGATAATCATAATTCAGGTGGCAGGTTCCCCTCAGAATGAAATGGCTTTCTACCTTTGCCTTCCGTTTTACCTTAACCCTAAAATAAGCCCTCTACATAACCCCACAACAATTACAGTATACACTATTCGCATTTGACTGAGATATAAAAACATTTAAACTTGAAAAAGGCTGCAGTTTTTAGCCCTTCACAGTACCTTCTAGTGAAATGTGCTCTATCAGGACATTCTGCTCATGTACTATATAAAAAATGTATAATATGAATGTGTAGTATAAATATTTATGCCACATTCACTTAACCTCAATCCATCAAATATATTCAATATAATTTTTGTATAAATTGCAAAAAAAAAAGTATAATTTTGATGGAGAAGTATAGCTTCCGTGGTAATTTTTCAGTAGTCCATGCCTGTTACAGAAAGTTTTTTCCCTGTGTGAAGAAAACCTTTCTTCCTCTTTACCCCACAAGGACCACATGGCAGTCAAGCCTAGAACTTGTTATTCAAAAACCTAATTTATTATTAAAAGTCTAATTTGTTGATAACAACACACTATCTTTCTAAGTTCCAAAAAAAAAAAAACAAAGTAGCATCACTAATTTCAACATCATGAGGCATTATCCAAATTCTGTTGGAGATATTCCCAGGGGTTTTTGTATCTTCAGTACTTTTCAATGGCATCTTTGACTGCACTCTGGCTGGTCTCCTTATGTATTGATTAATGCCCTCCCAAATTAGATCACTGTTATCATACTTTTAATTATAGAGTTTTTAAATTAATTGGTTGCATTTAAATTTCTTTGTTCTTGAGGCTTCATTAAACAAATGGATAGAACTCATTTCCAGTTAGCCTTAGAGAATGAATGTACTACATTGCTTACATAGGCTGGGATGGATATTTTCTTATTCCTCTTGTTTCTCAGACAGCCCAAACCTTGCCCTGCGCTTGCCTGCATCCTCTTTTGCCAGCAAATATAACATGTTATGTCTGCAGAGGGTTAGAGAAATCCCAAAGGAAAATGTTAGTTCTTTTAATATGTTGAAAAGTGCTATGGACGGATCAATGAAAAAGTTTACCATAAATATATGAATACTGTATGCAATACTTGATGGACCCTGCGCACCTACTTAATACACTATATGTCATCTAACGATCTAATACTCTTAACACGAACCTCCCACAGACACTATCCTTCATATGAACAATTATAAATTAGAGCTGGGTCCCAAAAAAGCTGTCAAAGGTTCTTACTCATTTTCTCCCCAAAAAATCCAATTGATATGTATCTCAGAATGTTTATCCTTTAATCTCTTTACAAAAGCCACATTTTGATGGACAAAAGGTGAACTCAAAATAACACAGTTGTTCAGTAATATACCCATTAAAATAAATGTTTAGTTGAGCTGAATATGGGATAGATGTAAATGCACTCATCGAATAAACAACTTAATTTTTCCCCTTAGGAATGACCTTGCAAAACCGACTTTGCTCCAAGCAGTAATAATTGACTCATCACTATTACTATTTCAAAATTTAAAACGTCTATGACTTTCCACGCCATGCAAGTCATGGAAGGTACTAGATTATATCTTGGTAATGAGCCAGCCAATACCACTGAAGGTCATCCAGTCAAGCAATGCTGTTTTTGGTAGATAAGCAAGGCCAAACCACAGTGGTATTCAAAGAAAGGAGACCTAATAAATTCAAGAGGTAAGGAGTGGAAAATCAAGCCAAGTCGTCCACATTGCGGAGGTGGAACTTGAACACAGTGCAGCTAGCTGGGGTTTGGGGGGAGCCTGCTCTAGCTGCTCAGTGATATGAAAATTAAAAAGAGGAAGGATGGATTACAAAAATATAATAAAACTGTTTAGTGTTTTACCCCTTTATCAGTTCCAGTGAATGACTTATTACTGTTCAAAGAAAGGCATCAAGCATGGGATATTTTAAAATATTATAACTGCAGCACACAGAATGAGATTAAAAAGTCAGGGGACTTTTCCTGAAGAATATGTAAACTGCAGGATAGTTTCGTGTCACTGGGTTGTCTGCCCTACCAGCTCCCTGAGCAGGCCATGCTTTACAGGTGGCTTTTCACAGCCTCCGTGCAAGGCACTGCCGGGGCCGGAGGATATTCCCCACCTTCCTGGGGGCTGGCTGGAGGGTGGCCGCCCTGAGACTGTTCGTGGCCCTGCTATGCTGGCCTCACTGCTGCCTTGGCTCCAGCTCCCTTCACCCTGCAGAGCAGCGTGTCCTTGCTGCACCCTGACAGACACATCTCACGACAGAGCAGCATTTAATTAAAAGTAGTATCTACTTTATGTACACTATTTATAGACTGGAGCCATTCAGGCTTGGAAGATACCAGGCTCAGTAGGACATTTGCATTCCTATCAGAAGTATCCTCTATTTCTGTTATTATTCTCTGCAACACGGTAGGACAAGAACAGTAAGAAAGAAGCATTGCAGCACGACAAGATGAAGCTGTATTCAGGATAGAGAGAAGCTTCTATCTGAAGCCTGAGGGTTTCAACTACAAAGCCAGGGTTAAGGTTACATCGATCAGATATTTCTCTACACAGAGAAAAGAACAGGCCAATCAAGCAAATTAACAGAGGAAGGGAGAAGACAGTGCATGTCCGGAAAATGTGTGGTAAATCACAGAACTCATTATAAGTCATATCTACATGTATATTTGCTAAGCCGGCTGTGTATAATATTTATATATGCTTTAGGGTTGTTTAACACCAATAATTCTTTAAACATTATTCTGTTTCTACACTGGAACTCTGGCCCTTTGCTGTACTGAAGCCCACTGTTTCTTTGACAAAACCACACAAAATAAATAATTCACCATTGAACTTGGTTTAAGGAGAATGAGCACTATATTCTGTCTGTGAAAGTTGCAAGGATTTCCATTTTTCCAACATTATAAATAACTTAACAGAGATGCAGCAGTCACTTCTGCAGTCACATCCGCATGCACATCTCCAATTAGCGTTGATGATGCTGTTATGTACATGCATGAAGAACGGAGAAAACCCTACTTTCTGCAGTTTGATTCAATCGGTTGGGTTTGTTTGTTCAGTTTTAATAACCTGATGCTGTGCAATCCTGAGATGCTACTTAACAGTCCCTGAAGAGGATCTCATATCATTACTAGACTGGCACATTATAGTTATCAGCTGTTATTCAGAACGGAGCAAAAAGTGTCTGCAGTCCCATAGTGGAAAGAGAGAGCAAGAGAGACTGCAAATGAAAAGTGCTCTGTCAGAGACTAAGATAATCTTTGAGTGAGAGGATGGACTCCTGATCTTCATTTTTACCTTCAGCTGTGTGCTCTTTTCATTCA